CCGAGCATGGCTCGCGGGCTAAACGTGGAGTGGCACGTAGCCCACTGAGCACTGCTCATTATTGAAGCAGTTGCTGCAAGTTAAGAGTGACATGGTCGGCCAGGGACCGAAGCATCGAGGGCGAGACCCTTGTGATGCACGTCGAGTGGCACGTAATCCACTGAGCACTGCTCACGTTACGAAGCGCCAGAAGTGGCATGGTCGGACGAGGTACAAGGCATCGAGAGCGAAGGCCCAAAGATGCTCGTGATGTGGCATGGAATCCACTGAGCACTGCTCACGTTTCAAAGCAGTTGCTGCATGCCAAGAGTGGCGTGGTTCGAGGTATCGTGGGCAAGGCCCTTCTGATGCGCGCGGAGTGGCACGTTATCCACTAAACGAAGACTGCGGAAATAGCCGCTCTACGTCGGATGCTGATAATAACATCAAAGCTTCGATGGAGCTGGAGTGGAACCACTAGACGACGCTGAGTGCGTGTACCCACTGGTCTCGATGAGACGTAAAACCTTAATCGAGAGGAGACGGCGATACCGTAATTATCTGTACGACGCATGGCGTCAGCCTTGACCCAGAGTGTTTCTACCGTAGACAATAGCGCACAGCTATACACCTTTAAGGATATTCCCGCAGTGGATGTTCTTCTTGAGCTGGTCGAGGTGTCTTTCTTAGTGTTTGACGGTACCTTTAGGCAGTCTATTTAGCCGAGGTGGTCATTATACGACCAAACGAGGAGATTAATGTCGCTTCTGGATGAAGCTGCTCTGGAGGACACTAAACACAGTGTTGGGACACATAGCATCGAGATGCTTCGACACGGTAAAAGACAGCCTCCCCCATGCCCCAATACTGGCGTTGCCAGACTTCGATCGTCCTTTAGTGTCGTCTGCGACGCTACGGACTTTGTCATCAGCTGTACACTGCTGCAAGCAGACGCCGAGGGTCGAGATTGGGTGTTCGCGTTCGAATTTCGCCAGCTTAAGGTTGCGGAGGAGAATTACCCAGTCCTCGACAAGGAATTACTTGCGATGAAGTATGCACTTGTCAAGTGCAGGACACACCTGCTTGGCTCAAAGCCGTTTGTGATCTACATAGATCATGCGTTATTACGCACTGCGACTTAGTCGCCTCACCACTCGCAGAGGATGACCAGGTGGCTCTCCTTCTTCGCAATATACAACTTCGAGGTAAATTCCAGGTCAGGAAAGTAGAATGCTTTGGCTGATGCGTTGTCACGCAGACCGGATTCGACGGATACGCCACGAATTGCGGCTTCTCACGATGAGGTTTTGATACACCGTATTCTCTATGAAGCTGTGACGTCCCACTCAGTGGCCATCTCGGTCGTGAGAAGACGTACAGTTCAGATAGCTACCACAACCGGTGGTCGAAGCTGTACAAATGGACGAGCACATATGTGCGCACGTATGAGCCTACGTGTGTAGGTGAAAGCAGACTTGCACAGGAAGTTAAGTTCCTGCTAGTAGATACACGGCAATCCGTTGTAGTCGGTGGTACTAGTCGCCAATTTGACGTCTGAGAATTGATATGTCTGATCCCTTTATCTCTTCATGGAGATGAAGCACATTTTAATCACATGTCTGTCCTTTTACAGCTAGACATGCTAGTATCCTCATATTTGTTGTTGGTTCCTAGGTATAACACTCTTGGTGGTCCAAGAGTTAGAAACAGTAATCACCTGCCGGGCGGCGTTGACAGCGAGATAAAGTGCACCGATGAGATACCCCCCAGTAACTATTTTTCAGGCATCGGTGGGAGCACAATCAGACCTACCACTTAAGTCTGGCCTTCAGTCCTTTGGTGAAAAAGTACATTTGAACAAACTGGGCTAAATCGGCCACAAATACAGCTATGCACCAGACGAATACTTAGTGAGCGCTAGCAGTGTCCAAGTCACGAGACCGCGCACAAAAATGTGCATCCTATGTAAGGAGGAAATTTCAGGTAATTCCAACACGAGACGCGTTAAGTTTGCACCGCCTAACCATGAGAGCAGAACTCCTGTCCACCCGTCAAGAGGAGCAAAAAAGGCAGACTACTTCTAAAAGCCGCGAGCTTGTATTGCCGCGGTAACGGAACACCATAATATTAATGTCTTATATAACGGTTTTTGAGCAAAGACGACTCCATCCGAGCCCGCTCCACAGAACAAAGATTGTGTGGATTACAATCTTTGTTCTGCGAAGGCAGTGGAAGTGAGAAAGCGCAGAATGTCATGACAGGTTTTGTAGCTGGGAATTTTGTGATTTTGGTATGGTCTTACCGCAAATTTTTGAGAATGCCTTACAGCGTGGAGAGCTGACGACCCTATACCTGGACTCGAGATACGTTCTTATTCCAGGTGTGTTATGGGCTAACGCCATAGGCCATGGTTTTTGTGAAATTAAAACCGCAAGGCGCAACGTTATTCTAACTTGGTGCAGCATTTTTCAGGTTACATAGTCATGTTTGCGCTAAAGCAAATACTCTGTTGGGGTAAACATGACGCCATGAAAGCTTTGATATAAGATTATACAAATGAGCAAGCATATCTTGCTCCATTCACCAGCAAAAATAGGATGGGAGGAGCGGCAGTAAGCCGCAATATCTGCATGAGACAGGATGTGGCGATCGTGCATTGCAGCCTCCAGAGTGTTATCTGATGACACATTAATTGTGACGATGTCGAGCGGAAAATCTCTGGTAAGGCTTTATTGAATACAGCTATAAGCTGATATCCCAGAGATTGCCTCTGATTGGACGTGTAAGAGCGTCTGTACCAAGAAGAAAATCCACACAGCCGAGTCAGAGCAACTGTGTGTATAGGCTGCTTGGACAAGAGCTGGCGAACGCATGTCGAAGCAGCTTCATGCCGCGATCTCATTGTCACAATGAAACGACCGTGCTTAGTCAGCAATACGGTATGACGCGCTCGTCGCGGATTATAGAGAGGCCCCACAGACTCACGTCGAGAAAGTTTTTCACCCGTCAATGAGGGTGACCAGAGTAGTTTTACGGATGTTTTAAAAGAGGCGCAAGACGATTAAGGCATCAAATCGGTGCAGTAAGAAGTGGCAAAGGAGCTGATCTAATAATCCGTCATGGATAGGCTGTCATTAGGGACACTCCTAGACCACCGAGTCAAAGAAAGAGAACAGCTGTCAAAAAGATCAGAGAGATCCTTTTCATCATACGCTTAAGGAAAAATCGTGGTGAGAGATCACATGTTTTTGAGGTATCGGCTGGGTGTGTCATGTGAATGACTTGGTTCTTCTAACCAAGGGTTTGTGTCATACATCAAACGACTTTCCCAGGGAATAGTGTGGTTTCATTGACGCTTTCATTCATGCAAAGCAAAAGGCACGTTTGATGAGAGAAAAATAAATGTTCTCACTCGGACCATACTTTCTGTTAGTCAAAGTAATAACAAGTGGCAAATTAACGATGGCGTAGCCCAGTGAGAGCATTTCAAAATGATCGGACAAACTGTCCTTCTACAATTCGGTGGGGTATGATGATTCATTACTTCTTGCCCTCTTTTGCTGTCAGAGGTGGAGCGATTGATGGAAACGTAAGGCTCTCAAAGAAAAATGTCATCTCAGAAGGCGTGGTGATTTGGGAGATCGCTGTAGAGCGCTGCTCGCTTGCCCGTCTTCATGCCGACCGATACTTATGGGGCGAGAATACTGAATGATTTGTCGAGTAACCAGTTTTTCAATCTTGAAAAAATTGGACAGGTACAGAAGTATCGATATTTTGATAAAAAAATTCACCGCAGTGATCACTGTATGAAAAGACACTTGAAATTTAACTTAACAATCGTAAATATCTGAAAATTTTGCCGCCAATTGTTAACGAAACGATTCGTGCGAGGGAATGCACAGGTGTTGTGGAAGTAAGACTTTACCTCTGCCGATGCCTGATCTATCTTTGGTTTGTGCACTGTATGTAAAAGATCACATGTTAATTAAAAAGTATTTCCTAAATAGTATTCAGGGGTGAAAAAGGTGGTTTGAGTAAAAGCTATCAGGACGCAGAGGAAATTGTATCACCTTATAATTTCTCTGTATGTTTCGAACATGTAGCATTCGTATGTGAAGCCAAATTAAGTATTCTTGAAGTTGAGATTTCACATGGCATAGAAATATTTAATTAAGTTCAAATATTTCACGACCAAACTAACAATTCTTTTGCCACGCTACGACAAGTAAAAGACTGGTCACGCTGCAATTTCTAAACTAGAAATCGTCATGGAAGTACATCTTTGTTTATAATAATCAACGACAGGATGGAAGTTGTTATTTCTCTCCTGCTTTTGTCTGTCAAAATCTCGCGAAAATGCAACATCCAATCATAACACATTATCCATTATTTAATCCAATCCTCGGTTAGATTGCGTGCGTCCTCGCCTTCACCACCCACCAGAGTTACCCCAGTCTTCAATCTACTGCTCCACAATCATGTACGTGGTCAAGCGCGATGGCCGGCGTGAAGACGTCAAGTTCGACAAGATCACAGCTCGAATCACGAAGCTTTGCTATGGACTCAATCCAGATTACGTTGATGCTGTCAAGATCTCGCAAAAAGTCGTCGCTGGTGTGTACCCTGGCGTAACCACGTCCGAACTCGACGAGCTCGCGGCCGAAACGGCTGCGTATCAAAGTACCCAACACCCGGACTTTTCCAAGCTTGCAGCACGTATTGCCGTGTCTAATCTTCATAAAAACACAAACAAGGTTTTTAGTGATAACATTGAAGTCTTCCATAAGAATGTACACGAAAAGACAGGAGCAGCAGCGCCACTTATTGCTGACGACGTTTACGAGATTGTAATGCAGCACAAAGATGAACTCAATTCAGCAATTATCTACGACCGTGACTTTGAGTATGACTATTTTGGCTTTAAGACACTCGAGCGAGGGTATCTCTTTCGTGTAAATGGAAAAGTTGTCGAGCGACCTCAACAGATGATCCTTCGTGTGGCGTTAGGAATTCACAAGAATGACATTAAAGCTGCACTCGAGACATACGAGTTCATGTCACAAAAGTTTTTTACCCACGCGACACCAACACTCTTCAATGCAGGTACACCGCGTCCACAATTATCGTCATGCTTTCTTTTGGCAATGCAGGATGATTCAATAGAAGGTATATATGATACACTTAAACAATGTGCGTGTATTTCGAAATGGGCTGGTGGGATTGGAGTTAGTATGCACAACATCCGTGCGACAAACAGTTACATTCGGGGCACCAACGGCTCATCGAATGGAATCATTCCAATGTTGCGCGTTTTTAATGATACTGCTCGATATGTGGATCAAGGTGGTGGTAAGCGCAAAGGATCGTTTGCTATCTATTTAGAACCGTGGCATGCCGATGTTTTTGAATTTCTGGATTTGCGAAAGAATCACGGCAATGAGCTACATCGTGCCCGTGATTTGTTCTATGCACTATGGATACCGGATCTCTTTATGAAGCGCGTCGAAGCGAATGGCAAGTGGAGTCTCTTCTGTCCGAACGAAGCGCCTGGACTTTACGAATGCTGGGGTGATGAATTCGATGCATTATATACTAAGTACGAACAGGATGGACGTGCTCGAAAAACGATTAATGCTCAGCAGCTATGGTTTGCTATTCTGGACGCTCAGATTGAAACTGGTGTTCCTTATATGCTCTACAAAGACGCTGCGAATCGAAAGTCGAACCAGCAAAATCTTGGCACAATTCGTTCGAGCAATTTATGCTGCGAAGTGATGGAATATACTTCTCCGGATGAAGTCGCAGTTTGCAATTTGGCATCTGTGGCCTTGCCTAAATTTGTGAATGACCGTGTTTTTGACTACCAGAAATTGTACGACGTGGTGAAAATAGTGACGCGCAACCTTAACAAGGTCATTGATGTCAATTATTATCCCGTCATAGAAGCTGAAAAGTCCAACATGCGACACCGACCGGTCGGCATTGGCGTCCAGGGACTGGCTGATGCGTTTATTCTCATGAATTACGCGTTTGAGAGTCCTTCGGCGCGCGAGCTGAATAAAAATATTTTTGAGACGATTTACTATTCTTCCATGGAAACGTCAATGGAAATTGCAAAAGAATTAGGTCCTTACGAGACATTCCAAGGATCACCAGCAAGCAAAGGCATTTTTCAGTTTGACATGTGGGGAGTCACTCCATCGTCGGGACTTTGGGATTGGGATGCACTCAAGAAAAAGGTTATGCAACATGGTTTACGGAATTCGCTACTGGTAGCCCCTATGCCAACAGCATCTACAGCTCAGATTTTGGGCAACAATGAATCAATCGAGCCATATACTTCTAACATGTACAACCGTCGCGTGTTGGCCGGCGAATTTACGATTGTCAATAAGTATCTGATGAAAGAGCTAATTGAATTAGGAATCTGGACGCCACAAGTGCGAAACCAAATTTTGAACGATAGTGGGTCGGTTCAAAAGATCAAAGCCATTCCCGAGGCGGTGAAGGAAAAGTACAAGACTGTGTGGGAAATTAAACAGAAGGCCGTGCTAGACATGTCAGCCGATCGAGGCGCGTATATTTGCCAGAGCCAGTCGCTGAACATTCACATTGCTGACCCGACCATTAGTAAACTTACGTCCATGCACTTCTATGCTTGGAAAAAGGGACTCAAGACGGGCATGTACTACATGCGTGGACGACCTAAAGCTGACGCGATTCAATTTACTGTGGATAAGCAGGGTATAGACTTGCAGCGTGCGAACGAAATGGCAGCGAAGGCAACGGCCACAGAGATTATTGCTCGAGCAGGGGACGATGAAGACGATTGTTTGGTTTGCGGAGCGTAGAGAAAAGCAGAATGACAACATTGCTGTAAAAGCAGACTGAAAACATCGTTGGATGAATCAACCTACGTATTATATCATGGAAAAGAGCTGAATTACTTTCTTTTTCATTAATTCCTGCCAAAGAAAAATATGTATTTTTCATTTGAGGGAATGTAGAGCTGTCTAAAACGAAGCTACCAGTAAATAGGCGTATCACACTATATTATCAGATATTCCATTCGTGACGTAAAGTACATTTTGTCTGGGTAGAGTTCATACATGTCTTACACTTTTTGAGGAATTGTGTTCACAATTGCTTACATTATCCAATGGATCAGTAGTAGTACTACTGTAAGATTTCTTGCTCAAACTGAGTTTTGGCAGGCCGATCTATATGGAGAAACTTATTACAATCTAGTGAAAAGTACTTGTTAGCGACTTTATCAAGCCATTGAGCATCTACGTATGTTAGCAAGATTGCAAACGACATTGCATCATTTCTACCGCAACGTTTGAAAAAAAAGGATAAAGTGTCCTCATTACAAAATTATAGATGATTTACGATACGTCTTCGTCTCTAAGAACGTATACTTTTTTGCCCCAGCTTTTGGAATGCAATATATTCAGTTGTGTATGTCTAAGAATTTCGTGAAGCGCCGTCCGCTAAGCAACTTGACTGGCTTTGGATATCACGCTGTGTGCATTTGCCTATCAACTATTTTCTTGCAGTCGCTGACTGCGTCATTCCCACTCTCCTTTCTCAGCAGGTTAAGCCTCGCGGATTACTTCTCTTGGAGTTACGAGTCTGATGTGGATCTGCATCTACACAACTTGTCAGTGCAACGTGTGCGATATTGGGATGTGCAGAAATCATTGGAAGGTGGAAATAGAGAAGATTTCGCATGCAAGCCTCTGCTAGACTCACTTATTACTACGACCACCGGACCTTCGTCGGCGGAGATCTCCGCTGTAGTGGTCACTTGGGAAGACCATCCACTGGCTGCTCAAATGCGATCGCAACATACACGACTAAAATCAGATATATTGGAGAGTAAATCAACAGACACAATAGACAATTCAGCAGTGTATTATTACGAAGTGCAGATCTGGGTACCAGGATGGGGGCTTGATGCATTATGGAATCCGGCTAACAATTTAGTAGTTACAAAAGACCCATTCTTGGTCCTACAAAACATACCGACCGAGTATGAAGTCAAATATCGCGTGAGGATAAAACTCAGGCAAACAGAAAAAAGTCTTTCTGAACTCCTGCCTTCAATTGACTTTCTTTCTGTTGAGACGGATGGACCATGGAGTGACGTCGTAACGCTTTCACCGACAAGAAAAGATGAAGTTAAAGAAATTGTGGCACACTTGGCTGGCAACAAGTTACTGCTTGTGCTGCTTACGGTGTGTATTGGGTCAGGCTGCATTGTGATAATACAATTGTATTTCCGACAGTCCCATCGGCAGCAACAAGTTTCTAAGATGGATTCGAGTCCACGCATACAATTTAGAAAAAATCAAAAGATTACGGAGACTGACGTAGATATTGACCTCGGCAAGTCAATTCCAGAGCTAATTCGCGATCTTTGCGACCTTCGTCAGGAGTTGGCGGATTCTGAAGATGAAGTGCGAAAGCTAATGCTACTTAGCGGATACGGAATCGAGTCGTTGTCACTGCCTGAGTTGAAGCAGCTTGAATGCAGATTAAAGCACACCCTCGAGCGCATTTCATTTCTTAAATTGATTAAGCAGCGCCGGCGATAGGCAGAGGGCTGATAGGTGAAGTCAGCTTAAGAAATGGCAAGTGGCGGATTTATTGTATAATATGCGTAGACGACGAAATTGCTGCTTTATGAGCTAGAATAAGGATCAAGTACTTTGTATGTGCTTAAAGCTTCCTAGAATTATTTGACTCATAGCTACTTCAACATAAGAATGAAGAAATGGCTCATTGTCTTGGCCTTGTCTTTTCACATAGAATAAAAAAGCAGTGCGACTTAATAATTTTATCGCGAGTGAGGCTTGACGCTTTCTTTTCATCGAAAAATAAATGCCGTAGTTAGTATAATTTCCGTGCACTGCCTAAAAATCATACTATGGAATCTCATGCAAAACTTTTGAAATACTTGGAAAGAAGTACCTAAAAAGCAAGATATTCCGCGATGCCGGTACGTGATGTAGTCCTTGGCGCGCTGTCTGGTGTGCTGCTCTCCATCGTAGTTTCTCGCAAGATTCTTCCCCATCTTCGCACGTATCAGCTTCGCTCGCAGTGTACCCACGGAATGGTGTATTTAGTAGGTGCTGGTCCAGGCGACCCAGAGCTGCTGACACTTAAGGCTCGTCGTTTGCTGGCTAGTGCGTCAGTTGTGGTAGTGGACGATTTTGTGGGTGTTGATTTCCACACACTAATTTCTAGAGACTGCAAGGTCATCTACGTAGGCAAAAGAGGTGGCAAAACGGACTCGACCAAACAGATGGACATCGGCACCATCCTGGTTGACTATTGTCGCGCTAGACACCTTGTCGTTCGTTTAAAATGCGGTGATCCAATGGTATTCGGTTGTGTGCACTCGGAAATTTGTGCATTAGTCCGGGCCAATTGCACCTTCGAAGTTGTGCCGGGCCTTTCGTCGGCGCTAGCAGTTCCTGCTATTGTTAATATTCCAGTGACTCACGAAACTCTCAGTGCGAATTTCATTGTCATTTCTGGCCACAAGCCAGCAGATATAGACTTTGTTTCGCTGGTAAAAGTAGATACTATCGTAATATTGATGGGCTCACGGACAATAAAGGTCATCTGTGACACTCTGATGAAATATGGCAAGGACGAGGATACTCCAGTTGCATTGATACATGCTGGTGCCACTCCTGATCAGCTAGTGCTGCTTGGCACGCTGGACGATATTTCTACAAAGACCTTGAACAAGAAGCTTTCACCTGCAGTAATTGTTATTGGACACGTAGCAAAGTTTGGGAATTTAAAGGCATATGTCGACGAGTCAGATGATGAAACAATCAATACAGACGTTTAGCCATGAGTCTTGAACAGAACATACCAATTGAATTGCATTATAGTTTCAGACAAGTTAGAATTGTTTTCTTTAACCTAACGACGCACAATGTCCAGCAATTCGACCTCAAAGATCAAATCAGCATCAGGAGGAATGACATTGCCGGCACCAGATTTTCCGTAGCCCTTGACAGACGGAATGTTGAGGTAAGCCTTCATGCCTTTACTCATGCGCATGACACCTTCATCCCAACCACGAATGACTTGGCCAACACCAATCTCGAAGTGGAATGGCTGGCCGCGGTCACGAGACGAGTCGAAGACCTTTCCATCCTTGGCAAGTTTGCCTGTATAGTGCATCACCATTGTGTCTCCACGGATAGGAAACGTAACGTTGTCACCCTCCTCAATCACTTCTGGAAGCACGAGGCGCTCGTCCCCAGGAAGATCAGTCTGCAGCTCATGACCCGCAAGCTCTATCGTAACTGTCAGCGACTGACCAGCGTAAGGATGAGCTAAATCAATTTCGATTTTATCTTCTGTAACTTTCACAATGCGTGCACGCTCACCACCCGCGAGTTCTAGTACTTGACCAACAGCAAGCATCTCGCGCTCTTTTTTCGGCAAATTAAGCTCCTTAATTGGGACAGTTAGGATCTGCTTTTCTTCGCCAAAAGCGCGGACAGCTTCAATCGTGACTGTCTTCGATTCTCCTTTTTTCATTCCTAAAACAGCGTCTTCAACACCAGGAAGCACCTGACCGCTGCCCACAATAAATTTGAGGGGGGCTCCTTCTTGTGTTTTAGGAAGCGACTTGCCATTGGACAGCGTTCCATCCATGTGTAGACACACGCGATCGCCTAACGCAACAACACAATCCTTCGACTGAGTGCTATAAGTAGCAGCAGCTCTAAAGTATACTGTCGGGAATACGATGTTTTGCAAGTCATGACGGGCAGAGGTTTTGGAAAGCGTGTGTATCACGTTATGAAACGAGCAAGATTGGCGGTAAGCTACAGATAGAGCGGTTAGATCGTGACGTCGATTGTCAGGAACGTTTGTCAGGGCAGATCTTACCAGGCGCACTCTTGCGGCTGGCGCGGGCTGCAAGGGTTAAGATGTGCTGTCTGTACATGCTTAGTTAGATTCATGTAATGGTTGTGTACAAATAAAGATGTATTATACATCACAAATCCTTTATCATTAAAAGCACATGCAGGAGGACACAAGTAGTATTCCATTAAATTTCAAAGCGATTGACTGTCGACAGCTGATCATGGGGAGTTGCAGTACTATAAAATTCTTGTGCCGTCATCGTTTGATGATTAGTAGTCGCCGATAGACCGTGTGCAGGAATATTCTCTTCCATCATTAATCGATGAAGCGAGTCTTGTGTTGTAGCATCTATTGTGTCTGTTAATCCTGCTCCATTGCACGCTACTGTGCTATCAATCTTGATCCCATTGCCATAATCCAAAGGGAGATTCATCAATGAGCCTGTATCATTGAGTGATGCAAGCTGTTCTTCAAATGAGTCCATAGAGTTTAGCTGCTCAAAGGAACCATCTCCACTCACTGACAGGCTGCTGAGACGTCGAGTTAATCCACCGTTGATCCAGCTATCATCGGGCTCCACATCAGCAGTTATTGAGCGTAAACTTGCACTCTTCGTTTCCCCAAGACTCAGCATTTTATTTAGCATACGAGGCGTAGAACGTCCCGAAGACACGGGCTTTGATGCTGAAGAATTCAAATGGTGAATATCTGACTGCGGCTCCATCTTCATCACAACTGCATCAAGATCCTCACCAATGTTGGTCAAGTTTGCAGCAGAGAGCAAACTTTTGTAGCTTCCGTTTTCTAGTGATTGATTCGAGTGACCGCGCAAAAATTCGTTCAGAATCATGATGTCTTCTTCGCTCATTCGCTCGTCTGTCATATCTTCAAGTGAAGCCACAATTGGTTCAAAATTAACTTGATTTGAGCCACTTCCATTGTCGATTGCTGGAACTGGTAAGTGTGCCAATTTTTTCTTCACAGGTTGTGCACGAGATATATAAGGCACTTTTGGTCGGACAGGAGAGGTCGATACAGACGGCGCGTCATCAGTGTTTAAAAGACGTGGACGACCAAGCTTTGTATATGTCTTTTGATTTGGGTTCAGTGCTTTCCATCTAAGCTTGACAGCATCCTCCGTCCGACCCTGCAATTTCACCAAAAGATGAATTTCATCTTTACCTATTGCGGTCCATAATTAAATATGCGTACCGGTAAAAGCTCGGCAATCTGAGTCCAGCGATTGCCATACTTTTCGTATGCTTGCTGAATGGCTTCATCTTCCTTTTCTGTGAATGGTCTGTCGGCATGTTAAGAGTCCACTTAGCCATTTATTGTCAATAGCACATGAAAGTACGCACGATTTGTTGATGCTTGGATCGAGCCGATTACGCCAGCGTTCACGGCACTGCTTTGCTCTGCAAATAAACATGTTTAGCACTTCGAAACACCTCAAGCGCTTGTATATTCTGACAACTACATACGTTCGTCCAGGAATGCTATTCGATACTTGACGCCAATTGTCATATCCTTTCAGCATCATTTCCATCAGCATCGCATCTTCCTCAACAGACCAAGGTCCCTTAACAAGTCCCGGCTTCAGTACTTTGTTCCAGCGTTGTAGACACTGCGCGTTATCGCGTCCTGGCACACGCTCAGCCACAGCCTGCAACATCCACTGTCGTTACTTCTATCCTGTCATCTAATTGATTACGTGACATAGAGCGCACCATCCAATTACGGTGTCCAAGCTCGGCAACTGCCTCCTTGAGCGCCTCATCCTGCTCAGGTGTCCAGCGCTTGCTCACGACACCACCAGTCTTCTTTTTACTAGCTTCACCTGCCTGATCTGATCGTGGCTCGACTCCCACGGCATCACGTTCACGCTTGTTGCTTTCCAATAAACATCAGAATCATGCTCGCTACTGTTCGTCCATGGACTACGTACATTATCGATTCGGCCACTGTAAATCAATGTAACATGCCAGAAAATAATGTTGGCGTGATGAGACAGACCAGAGAAGAGTAAAGCTCTAGACTCACCCATAGGTACCGTGTGTCCGTCTTTTGTCTTCTTGTTATCCCGCTTGCGATCGTCCTTACGTTACCTTGCAACGAGATGACCTTAAACTTATGAGTGAGATTCGAGAGATGAAGGCAGTGTACCCACATATAATTGGCGTAAATTTATCACTTAGGTCTGCTGACAGTAGCACAGCAAGCTTCGTCAATTGGCTAAAATACAGCAGATACTGCAAGAATTATATCGTGTCGTGATATGCCTTTCCCGCTGCCGCATGTTGTGCTGTTGGATGAGGGCACATTGGTAATCAGAGCTGATGCCATATTTACTAGTACTACACATGTAAATCAATCGATATTCAACTTAAAGTAGCAATTTATCGGTGAGATTGACTTAGCTCAAGGAAAATGATACGAGTGTTAAGTGAGCGCACAGAGTACTAAAAAGCTGATTCTGTCTTTTGACTATATCTCTAGCTCATCAGCATCTCATTTTACTCTAGCATGAGATTTTGTACAGAGAGGCATCATTCCTTCTTATCCTTGACAGAAGCAGCCATTCACCAAATACAGGTATAAAGTACCGTTTGGTCCTCTATTACGGTATCGAATGAGATCTGGTGAGAAGGATACTGTTGCGTTTTCAGCTCCTCACCGTTCGTTATCATCTTATTACGCTCTAAATCAACGAGAAACGTCGTACTGAAACCATGTGTGAAATGTAACATAATTAGAAGCGCAATTGTCCGCTACTAGAGGACTCGTTTGTTAAAAGATGCGCGTCGACATCTGCTGCACACCTAATTACACGGAAGGACACATTTGCCTAGTTGTATCAAAGAAATCAAAGAATTCACCAAAATCTTCGTGAAAATCCGTTCGTCACTCGAGAAGCAGCCCAAATTTAAATCTATCGACTCTGACACCGCAAAGACGACACAGGGTGTTTTATCAAGCCAATGCAGCTTGCACTGGGCTTTGGGGTAGAAAGTATGTTTTTTTAAGGCACAAACGCAAAACCGCGTAGCTCTTCGAACGTAACTGATTGAACGAACATCATCTCAAGGGTGCCGATTAACCTTCGGTAGGTGCGAGAAAAATATAACAGTCGTGCACTCGACTTAACAAAATATATCAATATCATGAACAAAGGTTATAATTCTGCTGCGCAACAGGATTGCTAAAGATATACAAAGCTTAGTTAGCTCCAAGGATGGATATTAACTCTTTGCAAACCTTAGACTTTAGCCTTATTCGATATTTACGAAATGAGTAAGGGATTGACAGAAAACATCTGTGACAATTTGTTGCGTAGCGATGCACAAGTGTGTTGCTTTCCGCCCAAACACATTATTCAGTACATTCCCTTCAGCTAAACGAACTCTTAAGAAAAAAGCATGTGTCGCAAATACAAAAGTAAAATTTACTTTGGGTGAGCGGGCCATCACAGAATATTATACAAACTTAGCGCATGCAGTTTAACAAATGGTAGTGAAAAATACAAGCACATGCGGCGTCAAACTCACATCAACATCGACGTCGCATTAACATTCGTCGAATCGCGTCAGTATTACAATAAGCCGCGATCGCCATCACTGTGTCACAAACTTTCAAAACTATCGTTTACTCTCACAGATACAACCTACCCTTGCGGATCGGACGCATAAGATCTGAATGAAGCAGGTCGCCAATGTCGTTAGAGATGTTACCCAGTTCATGCAAAATGCCGTTCGAATTTCGTCGAGAAATTGATCGCGACTCATCAGAATCCGCCATCAACGCCGATTTTTGGCTAGTTTTCTTCACAAAGTTGTGCTGCGAGTACGCGTTTACCTCCACAGGAAGATTCACATCGTGAAGAATTGCATTTTCATCATCCGTTCTTCGCATCCGCCAACTGTCAACCAGCTCGTGAAATAAATGCTTGTCGTCTTGATCTAACATTTGAACAGCCTTTTGAAGCGACGCTGGATTTTTGAATGAGCTAGTCAAATTATCCATTAAACTCTGAGTACAACGACCCTTGTTTCCAATCTCCTTTTCTTTCGAAATCGACACAGTCGCGCGAAACATTTCATCCAGTTCACCACTTTCAAGTAAATCTTCCGGTGACATCTCTGTCATGGAGCTTAAGCCGCAAGCACTGCCGAAACTGAGCAGACTATTGGTGTGGCTATGAAGCAGCTCTTTAAGCATCACCACATCCCTCATATCAAGCTCGGCTATAACGTCATCGCTCTGTGGCTCGACAATTGGTTCGTAGAATTGGTCTGGAAGCATGTCCTGTGATGAGGATAGAGATTCGTTTATATTTGGCATGCCAATCTGTGACGAATGCATTGATTTAGAGGTTGTGGATGCGCCATTATCGCAGCAAGGTGTATGAGTAGAATTTTCATATTCATAAGTTGATAAATCCGGTATCATGATTGACCCGTTCATCATGGACGCTGCAACATCATCGGGCGTTGGGGGTATTGTAGAGCGTGATTTGTTGACCGTAAAACCTGGCATCAGTTTTGGGCGCCCAGGCTTAGCTTTCACCCTTTGATTCGGATTTAACGCTTTCCATCTCAGCTTGACAGCATCTTCCGTCCGTCCTGGAAGCAATTCTGCAATCTGCGTCCAGCGATTCCCCATATGTTCGAATCCTCTTTGTATCACAGTGTCTTCCTCAAGGCTAAAAGGTCTATTTGTAGACAAAGACATCCATAATCCACTGAGTGAGCAACATCATGATGACAACCAAGAACACGTACGATTTGTTAATACTAGGGTCTAGATGATTTCGCCATCGCTCGCGGCACTGCTTTGCTCTAAATACAATGGAAGCCACCAAGCATCATAATCAAATTTTCGTCAACTCGCGCATTGAATAAACGTACGTCCTTCCGGGAATGTGAGCCGCCACTTCTCCCCACGAGTGACAACCTTGCAAAACCATTTGCTCAAGCGTGCTGTCTTCTTCAAAAGACCAGTGACCTTTTACAAGTCCAGGCTTCAAAACCTTGTTCCAGCGTTGCAAACACTGTGCATGGTTTCGTCCGCCCACACGCGAGGCAATCGCCTTCCAGTTGCGTTGTCCAAATTCTTCGACAGCTTTGCGCAGCGCGTCGTCCTGGTCAGGCGTCCAGCGCTTACCTTTTCCTTCCTCAAGTGACTTTTGCGCTTTGCTTGGAGTGTCGTAGAGCGACTGCAACATACTTTCCTTCGATTCGCGCTCTCGCTTACTGTAATGATCAAGAAAGATAATACGCATAAGAAGACCGCATCAAACGTCAGGGCGGAATGAAGATGACCGACATTCCTGGTGCCTCTATGTCATTTGACCATCACATTTACCAAAAATGTTAGAACATGGTAATGACACGAATTTGGAAGCCGCTCACTCACCCATTTGATACAAACTAGTTGGTGCGTAACGCACTAAATTAGTGCGAATCACGGTCGAACGAATTTGTCGATCCTTCTTCCACCGTTGCTTATTTAAAATGGCGTAGGTGCGAAGCCAATATGCCTCCAGATGTTCGGGAGAAAAACCGAACGAGCTTTTGACCAATCAAAACATTTATTATTTCATGGTTTGAGCAAAAACTAAACAGCATATCGACATTCAATTGAATGCTGTACATAATTTGTACTACAGACCCGCTGGTCGTTGCTGCAGGCTGCGACGAGCTTGTGCAATCCGAGGTTATATATACAGAATCCAAGCCATGTCAGCATGTGCCATTC